AAGATTCCAACTTTATTCTTGACATCTACTTCCCAACATCGTTTGTTGGAGAGATTCTTTTTTCCTCTTGAGTAGTGTTGGCACACTTGTTGAAGATGATATAGCCAAAAACATGGGAGTTATTTCTAGTTTCTCTATTTTATTGTTTCATTTGTCTGTCTTCACACCAGTACCACACTCTTTTGATTACTGTAGCTTTGTGATATGTTTTACAATCAGAAAGTATGAGTTCTCCAACTTTGTTCTTCTTTTTCAAAATTGTTTTGTCTATTTGAGGTTCGAGAGATTCTATATGAGTTTTGGGATGATTTCTTTCTTTCTTTTTTTTTCTTTTTCTTTTCTTTTCTTTTCTTTTTTCTTTTTTTTTTTTTTTTTTTTTTTTTTTTTTGTGTGTGTGTGTGTGTGTAGGGGGCCAAGGGAGAGAAAGAGAATCCCAAGCAGGCTCTAAGTCCAGCATAGAGCCCAATATGGGGCTCAGTCCCATGACCCTGAAATCATGATCTGAGTTGAAATCAAGAATTGGACACAACTGACTGAGCCACCCAGGCACCTCATTTTTCTTTCTATTTCTGAAAAAAAATTGTCATTGGGATTTTGATAGGAATTGCATTTAATCTAAAGATTATTTTATGCAGTATGCACATTTTAACAATATTAAGCCTTCCAATCCATGAACATGGGCTACCTTTCCGTTTATTTATGTATTATCTCATTTCTTTCAGTAATGTTTTATAGATTTCAATATACAAGTCTTTCATTTCCTTAATTGGGTTTATTTCTAAGTATTTTATTCTTTTTGATGCTATTGCGAATGGAATAATTTTCTTCATTTCCTTCCTCCCATGTCTGCCTGCAATACTGTAGCTCTGCTTGCTGCTCACCTGTTTTCAGTAGTTTATCTTGAGTTGGTCCCCTGTGCACTCTGAGTCAGGCAAGACAGAAGCCAGTTCCTTGAGTAGCCCTCAGACAATCCAGAATGTTGGGTGCATGGTACACTCTTTTTTTTTTTTTCCATCTTGAAGGAGGTTACATGGGGTTTCCTCCTGATGGCTCCACAATATGCTGTGTAGGGGTAAGGGCACTAACGAGTGTACCAAATGCTGGGAATTATCCTACCCCTTTTGGTGGAATGTTTTCTTGGTTTTACAGTGGCCTGGGTGCTGCAGTTTCTCAGCTGGTCTCTAGAGTTCTTACAGAGATGTTCTGGTCCATATATGGTTGTTAATTCAGTGAAAGAAAGTGAGCCTGTAGCTTCCTAGTCTGCCTTTTCTTTTATATTATAAGCCTGGAATGGATTTTCTTGTCTCATGATTACCACATATTGCCTCTGGGTTTTCACCTTCTTGCACCAAATTATTCTCTTACCACTCATTTCTCCATTTCCTAGCTATCTTCTGGCCTCTGTTATATTTCTTCACATTCAAAAGTAATGTTTTTATTTTACTCTCTCTTCCTCTCCACTCCAACTCCCACTATGAACCTCGGAAAGCTCAATGTCAAAATAGGTGATATAGTAAAAAGAAAACTATCTTTATTGTTTTTTGACCTACTCAATATTATTGCTACTATTACACATTCTAAATCTTAGAGTTTGCAATCATTCATTCTCTGAAATATTTAGCTTTAACATCATATATATTATGTGTGCCTATCTCTGTATGTATGAGTATATGTGTATATATAGTCAGGAATGTACTATCACATATATATGCATATAAGATATATACATATATATGTGACAGTATATTCCTAAATTCTGATATGCTTTTTGCAAAAGTGCCATCTAGATGATTAGATGAACATAACTAGAAAAATTCTCCAGGTGTGAATTCTTATAAAGGGTTTATGTATACAATCACGATCACACAATAAGTGTCTTTTGTGATAGATGATTGTGAAGTTGGCTGTAACAAACAAAATGAACCATCAATATGTTGTATAGTACATATGCACAAGTAAAGACTCATCTTTTGTTTCTACTTCTCTTCGAGCCAGTTTATGCTTTTGCAGTTCAGACTTTTACAAGCTTCTGTTTGAAGGAAATGCTCTGAAAGGAACATTCAAATAAATTATTTTTCATATGGCCATTGTGGATTCCTAATAATCAAATCATGCTGCATAACTTTACTTTTTTTTAAGATTTTATTTATTTATTTGAAAGAGAAAGAGAGCATGAGCTTGGGGAAGGGAGAAGGACAAGCAGATTCTCCACTGAGCGGGGAGCCCTACACCAGGCTCCATCCCAGGACTCTGAGCCAAAGGCTGATGCTTAATGAACTGAGGCACTCAGGCACCCCAGTGTTGTGTAACTTTAAATTAAACTTTAGTGCACTAAAAACATTACTTAAATCCCCTGATTATCAGACTTCTGTTCACTCTATTGATCTTTCTCACATATCCTCACATTTTTTACTTGCTACATGAGTGTTTTTTTATTTGTGGCTCATGAACCACCTCAGTTACCTGGGATGATTTTTTAGCACATCCCCACCCCAGACTAACTGTATCTTAGGAAGGGAAGAGTATATGTAACAAGATTCTACATTATTAACAAGTTTTCAGGTGGTCCTTGTATAGACACTAAAATTCAAGAATAATTGTTCTATATAGGTGACCCAGTATACCCTTCCATAATCCTGGCAGATTATGTTTACTCTAAAAATTTAGGTGATTTCAAGTCAAGAAGTTATACAAATACCAAAAAAATAAAGATCTTTACAAATGTTACTTATAATTACTAGACTTTCCCAAAGTGTTTTTTACTTACATTCACTTCTGCCATTAGCCATCAGCTCATTATCACCTTCCTGCCGGTGTACAGTTTCTCTCTCATTCATTGTTAGAGTCAAGATTGGGGAAAACTGGAAATTCATTCTAATTAATTATATTTCAGTCATTTCTATTTTCAATCTTTTGGCAAGGCCCAGGCATTGACACAAACATTTTCATATCAATATGAACTTTATTTTTTATCAATGGAAATTTTAAGAAAGGCAAGGTTGCCATATGGATTTAAATATGGTTGTCTAAAAAGATATGTTATTAAAACTGCAAAATATTAACTCAGTTTTTCATTCAATTATTGTTCTATCTGTAAAATATGCTATATATATTTGATATTTAATTAAAATCCTCTAGGGGTGCTTGGGTGGCTCAGTCAGTTAAGCCTTTGACTCCTGGTCTCAGCTCAGGTCATGATCTCAAGGTCTTGAGATCGAGCTCTGTGTTGGGCTCCATGTTCAGCATGGTGTCTGCTTGAAATTCTCTCTTTTCTTCTGCCTCTGCCCTCCTCCCTGCTTGTACATGTGTGCTCTCTCTATCTCTCTTTCTCAAAATAAATAAATAAAATCTTTTTAAAAAATAAAATAAAATAAAAATTTAGGTGAAGTATGTGACAAAACCAAATGAAATAGCACAAATAAAGTGACTCTTAGTCACCAAATAGTCAGATAGTTAAAGAACATTGTCACTGAGTCACTGGAGAGTGCATACAATGGTACTATCAACCTAAGCTAGTTTTAGTGAGCCAATATATCATAGTCAAGACTCAGAATTTTGGGGGAGGGTGAAACATCCACCTTCTAAATAATGGTGGGTAAACACTGGTGTATCACTCTAAAAATTAAACTCTTACAAGAAAATAAAAAGAAATGTGTTAGAAATTTTTAAATTCAGAATATTATTATCAACAATGCTGGATATATTTTATAATACATATATAAAAGATATAACATATATTTTTCATATGTTTCTAAAAACAGCAACTTCTGTTTTTCCCACCATCAGCTTAAGGATATATAGATTATAAATGTAATGGGGCGCCTGGGTGACTCACTCGGTTGGGCATCTGCCTTCAGCTCAGGTCATGGTCCTGGAGTCCTGGGATTAAGTGCCCCCCTTCAAGATCCCTGCTCAGAGGGGAGCCTGCTTTTCCCTCTCCCTCTGCCACTCCCCCTGCTTGTGCTCTCACTCTCTCTCTCTCTCCCTCTCTCTGCCAAATGGATAAATAAAATCTAATAAAAAAAATTTTTAAATGTCATACTTTTCTTTGTGGGTCATTCAACTCACACATGCTTACTTTTCATAATTATCAGTAATCTTTAAGGAGTAAGCATGTGCTTCTATAGCAGGCACAGAATGAAAACTTTCTGCTGTGAATAGACACTTCCTGCCTTCTGGGGAATCAAAGCCAGGAGACAGTTTTCACTGTCCAGTGATTTTCAGCATTTGGTACAATTCTGCCCTGATTACAGTAAGTGACTTTGAGGAAATCCCTGGTTTTCTCTTTTCTCATTTGTGATGTGGGCATGTCAGAGTTCAGACTTCATGGCATCCAAGGTCTTATGCCTGAAAATCCTTGAAAGAGGAAGTTCCACAGACTCAAGTGCTCCACCTTCTATAATTCTGGCGGATTTCAATTTTTTACTTATGTGCAAACTTTGTTATACTCACGAACGCCTTTAGAACTAAGCTAAGAGTGGTTTATGGGTGCTTTTTTTAATTATCTTATTAAGGAGCTGTTTCCACATTTAAATGCTATTTTCCACATTTTGCAGCTTTATTTGAAACACAAATATTTCAGGATGAGAATTTAGAGCTTTTAAAAGGCATCCTGCCGTTTTTGCATAAATGTTTATTTTTTGTAACATTACATTAACTATTATTTCTCTTGATTACTGAGTCTTTTTGGAGAGTTCCTTAAATGTCCACCCTAGATGAGTGTCTCATTTGCCTCATGCAGGTCCTGACCCTGAGAAAGATACTCAAAAGGGATGGTTAGAAGGACAACAACAAAATCTTCCCAAAATTTTGTCAAACAGACCAGTTAATTAAGAAAAGTAGATATTACATATCCAAGTATGTCAGACACCCAATAAGTGAATTGTCTCCCTAATTTACAGAGGAAACCCACAGCTAAAAATATGGGTGGGAGGGGTTACAAGAGAAACAACAAAGCATTTCAGACTGGGCACTTCCTTTTGCTGATCTTGACTCACAGAACTTGGAGTCTGTCCTTATACACAAGTTAAGTGCCATATTCCCCTGCTTACAATGGATAGACAAGTGGTATATGCTGACTTAAACTTATCCAGGGGCTCTTGCTTTGCAAGTTCATCACCCCCATCATTTCCTCAAGGTAAGTACCTTTGATTTTCCTTTTGGCATTTGTTTATCTTCCAGAGTTAGAATTTCCTCTCATATCTATGGTTTTAAATCACTGCTCTGAGGATGAGCAGCAATTCTATATTATGGTTGCAGTGGTGAAGCAGAGTTTGTCTGTAGGTAACACTAACGGCGAAGAAAAGCACGCACCTTGTAGATTTCTTTTTTTATCAAGATATTAGTGTGGGGGCACCTGGGTGGCTCAGTTGAGTGCCTGCCTTCGGCTCAGGTCATGATCCCAAGGTCCTGGGATCAAGCCCCACATCAGGGATCCTGCTGCTCCCCCTGCTCGTGCTCCCTCTCTGTCAAATAAATAAATAAAATCTTTAAAAAAACAAAACAAAGATGGCGAGAACCAAAATACATTTCATTGATTAATTAATTACTTAAGCCTCCCATTTCATTAATACAATCACAAAAGAAAATAAAAAGAAATACCTTAGAAATTTTTAAATTCAGAATATTATCATCAAGAATGCTGGATATATTTTTATAATATATGAACATACATTTTTCATATGTTTCTTTTTTTGCCTTTTATTTTTATTATTTAATTTTTTAATTCAATTTTATTACGTTATATTAATCACCATACAATACATCATTAGTTTTTGATGTACTGATCCACCATTCATTCTTTTCATATAACACCCAGTGCTCCCTCCAGTACGTGCCCTCCTTAATATCCATCACCGGGCTAACCCACCACCTCCCACACCCTCCCCTCTAAAACCCTGTTTGTTTCTCAGAGTCCATAATCTCTCATGGTTCATCTTTCCCTCCAATGTCCCTCCCCTTCATTTCCCCTTCCTTCTCCTAGTGACCTCCACGCTGTTCCTTACGTCCCACAAATAAGTGAAACCATATGATAATTGACTTTCTCTGCTTGACTTATTTCACTTAGCATAATCTCCTCCAGTCCCATCCACGTTGATGTAAAAGTTGGGTATTCATCCTTTCTGATGGCTGAGTAATATTCCATTGTATATGTGGACCACATCATCTTTATCCATTCATCTGTTGAAAGGCATCTCGGCTCTTTGCACAGTTTGGCTATTGGCGGACATTGCTGCAATGAACACTGGGGTGCATATGGCTCTCCTTTACACTACATCTGTGTCTTTGGGGTAAATACCTAGTAGTTCAATTGCTGGGTCATAGGGTAGCTCTATTTTTAATTTTCTGAGGCACCTCCACACTGTTTTCCAAAGTGGCTGTACCAACTTGCATTCCCACCAACAGTGTTAAGAGGGTGCCCCTTTCGCCTCAACCTCTCCAACACTTGTTGTTTCCTCCTTGTCAATTTTTGCCATTCTAACTGGTGTAAGGTGGTATCTCAGTGTGGTATTGATTTGAATTTCCCTGATGGCTAATGATGATGAACATTTTTTCATGTGTCTGTTAGCCATTTGTATGTCTTCTTTGGAGAACTGTCTATTCATGTCATGTCTTCTGCCCATTTTTTGACTTGATTATTTGTTTTTTGGGTGTTGAGTTTGAGAAGTTCTTTATAGATCTTGGATACCAGCCCTTCATCTGTAGTGTCATTTGCAAATATCTTCTCCCATTCTGTGGGTTGCCTCTTTGTTTTGTTTTGACTGTTTCCTTTGCTGTGCAGAAGCTTTTTATCTTGACGAAGTCCCAAAAGTCCATTTTGCTTTTGTTTCACTTGCCTTTGGAGATGTATCTTGAAAGAAGTTGCTGTGGCCGATGTCAAAGAGGTTACTGCCTATGTTCTCTTCTAGGATTTTGATGGATTCCCATCTCACATTGAGGTCTTTCATGCATTTTGAGTTTATCTTTGTGCATGATGTTAGAGAATGGTCGAATTTCATTCTTCTGTATATAGCTGTCCAATTTTCCCAGCACCATTTATTGAAGAGACTGTCTTTTTTCCATTGGCTATTCTTTCCTGCTTTGTCAAAGATTATTTGACCATAGAGTTGAAGGTCCATATCTGGGGTCTCTATTCTGTTCCATTGGTCTATATGCCTGTTTTTGTGCCAGTACCATGCTGTCTTGGTGATCACTGCTTTGTAATATAGCTTGAAATCGGGCAACGTGATGTCCCCAGCTTTGTTTTTCTTTTTCAGCATTTCCTTGGCGATTCAGGGTCTTTTCTGATTCCATACAAATTTTAGGATTGTTTGTTCCAGCACTTTGAAAAATGTCATTGGAATTTTGATTGGGATGGCATTGAAGGTATAGATTGCTCTGGGTAGCATAGACATTTTAACAATGTATTTTTCATATGTTTCTAAAAACGGCAACCCCTTCTGTTTTTCCCACCATCAGCTTAAGGATGCACAGATTATAAATGTACCGGGGCACCTGGGTGGCTCACTCAGTTAGGCCTAGGGATCAAGCCCTTCCTCGGGCTCCCTGCTCAGTGGGGAGCCTGCTTCTCCCACTCCCCCTGCTTGCGCTCTCTCACTCTCTCTGTCAAATAAATAAATAAAATCTTTTTTAAAAGAAGATATTAGTGTGAAAAGTCAACATCACTTCTATTACTGAGCCTTGGTTAAAAACCAGGAAGAAACATTTTACACATATGAACAAAATATTTTTTAGAAACACATTGCTACCTTGCTGCAATGGTAACCTACCTTATTCCAAATCCCTTCACAAAATACTAAGATTAAGTTCCAGTGAATTCACTTCCATAGTATTTTTTTCACAATGGAAAGTATTAGCTTAATGATTAACATCCTTCACTCTCCAAAGAGAAGGGGGGAAGAATTTCTGGAAAAAATCATATTCAAGATTGAAGACTTCAGTATAATTACAATGTGATGGTTTGACATTGATAGCTTTGACACTTGATACTTGAAAAGTATCACAGTTTAGGAGATAAGCCTTGAGACACTGGAGAATATCATTAACAAAAGAACCTATTTGACACTTGTTGGAATCAGCACTTTTCCGTGTCAGTGAACAAAAATAAATAAATAAATAAAATGGGGACGTGTAGTATGAAGTAATAGGTGAGGGATGCCACGACCTGGACATGGGTGAAAAAAGACCTGGAACTAGGCAGAAAATACGTATGAAATTATCATGACTTTCTGAAATCTAACCAAATGTAATATTGGGATTTTTATCTAACCTGGTATTTGTTTCATATTGGGCTAAGCATGTGGACTCTATTCTTTTAGGATGACTTGAGGTAGGTTTGAAACTCTTAAATTATCAATGTTCCAAATTGGGAAAAAAGGTTCGGGGTTACCAAATAAGTTTCACTATACTTTTCATATGGGGACTAAGGGGAATTGGAGGATTTTGGTAACTTACGGTTGGCGTTTGGTCTAGCCACAGTTATTTTTTTATGGGAAAGAGTAAAACTTCTCTGACCCTATTCAGATCTAGCAAAAGTGGAGAGAAAGGAAGATGGTGTTGAAAGGGGATGTCAGAAGAAGGGAAGAAAAAAAAAAGGCAGGGAGATTTTCCTCAAAACCTACTCTCTATGACCCCAAATCAATGGGTCCAGAAAATTTGTCTGGTCTGATTATATTTTCATCCTACAAAATATCATCCTAAAAACGAACCTGAAAAAAAGTAGAATAAAGTCAACAAAATGTGTCATTAAAAGACACTGAGCTGATATGACAATTACTGTGACACCACTCCTGAGCTTTTGGCTGTTTTTCAGGCTGTGGTTACCATAAAATAGTGAGAAAACCAAAGGAGTCAGTAAAGCCAGGCAGAGATGTGAGCGTTGACCTATTTTGTTCCAGCCAAGGGGTTTGGTCCCTTAGCAAAGTAAGTAAGGTGTTGGGAAAATGCCTCTAGAGGTTATTCATTCATTCAAAAATAAGCACCTTCTGTGTGCTAGGCCATTAGTGCTGAGATGACAGGAGTCAACAAAATACAGAAAAAAATCTTTTCCTTTATTATGTTTATATTATACTACTATAGACACAGATAGACAAAGAACTAAGTATATGTAAAAAAGAGCACATGATATTAAGTGCAATTGAGAAAAATAAAAAATAGAAGTAGAATTTAGCTTTGGGGGAGGGACAGTATCAAATGGAATATCTACAGAACCTGATGGCAAGATGACATTTGAGTCAAGACCTGAAAGAATTGTGGGACAAATTTTTTTATTAGAAAATTATTCTCATTATTTTTCCCTATGAAATCCAAATTTTTAAAGATGTCTAGAACCAGGATGCCTAGGTGGCTCAGTCGGCTAAAGCATCTGACTTTGGCTCAGGTCATGATCCCAGGATCCTGAGATCAAGCCCCCATCAGGGAGCCCGCTTCTCCCTCTGCCTGCCACTCCCCCCTTCTTGTGCTCTCTCTCTTTCTGTCAAATAAAAAAATAAAATCTTTAAAAAAATAAAACAAATATGTCAAGATGTCGAGAACCAAAAACATTTCATCAATTAATTAATTAAGCCTCCCATTTCATTAATTAATACAATCACAATCTGATGAATATGAGATATACAATATATTGTAAATGATATGACTACAGAGAAATACAAATGTATTTGATATTTTGTTAGACTATGCAATGTTGTAGACATCAGTTGGTGCTATGTTACATTCGTTGAAATACTGAAAATAATATGCAGCTTCACAAAACGCTCTTCCTTGAATGCCATACATCTGACTCAAGTTGGAGATAATTGTTTTAGATGACAATAAAGTAGAGGAATCCATGTCCAAGAATAGAATTGTTGTATATCACCGAAACCTAAAATGGTGCTTAGCACAAAATAGAGCCTCAATAGAGCTCTTTCTAAAACACCTTGAATGGACAATGGCCATCTTTTTTTAGACAAAATTCTTTGACTTACTCCCTATAATATGGTATTTGTTTCATTTTCACACAGCACTTGGAATTTTTCAAAACTTTTCATATCTAGCCCATTTGATTATTATACCGATCATTTGTATATAAGACAAGCACAAATATATCTGTTTTATCAGTGAGCAAACTCTCAGCTGGATCTGACTGAGAATCCACCTCGTGGGTCCCTAATATGGCTGATTGTTCTTTCCTGCCCCCAGCTTCCATCCTGAATCTGTCTATACGTGATCCAAAACACCCTTGCTTTTTGTACCAGATTAACTCAACTGAATTAACTGAGTGTATTTTCTTAACTTCTCAGATGTCTGTCAAGGTTCACCTTGGCATCAATTTGCTCTGAAACTTGGTTGTACTGTGATTATTCTTCTTACTTTGACTGTGATTGGACTGAGTGTTTCAGGTAAGTAATTCAAGATCATTTGCTTCAGAATACTTATATTATTTCTATCACAAATATTAGAGTATCAACATCATTTGGCCACCCCAAACTTAGTGAAAGACCAATAAAATAAAAACAATTACAAAACAAAGCTTTTCACAATGCTCAGCCCAAATCTCTGCAAACTTCAGCCTTTCACATTTCTCTTCCTAATTGTTCTGATCGTCTTCATGGGGTATTTTAGATGTGCTCCCAGAACCTGAAAATGATCACAGCTATAATAAAAACATGACAGTGACAAAGAAAAATAAAATTTTCCCTTATTTACAGTTTTTTAAGTGCCTACTAAATTCCACATTGCACTAGGCAACCTCTCCCATGGGGTAGACATAATTATATTTATTTTGAAGATGACAAAGCTTGGTCAGGAGTATAAACAATTTAAGAGTAGACAGCAGGTAAGTCAGTGTCTGTGTGAGTTCACCGTTCCGTGTGTTTTCTTGTGTATGTATTCTGGGTTCTAACTAGACTCTTGGCTACATTACTATCGCTTTATCTTCTGTCCACACTCAGCCTTTTTGAGATAATATAGTCTCCTGAAGTGATCAATGTAACATATCCATTTCACCACATTCAGCATTTAATCTTCTTAATGGTTTCTCCTTACTTACTAGTGATTTTCTTAAGACGAAACTCATTCATAGAAGAAAGCCGAGTGGATGTTCAAGAGAACAGGAATGAAACAACAGGTAATTTGGTAGCTTGAACTTCCTAAAAATAATAGCCCATATTTGACAGATACTATATGTTACAGTAGTAAAAGCTCCTAACAACCCATAAGTTAAGATGGCATTATCTTTCTGATTTTATGTTTGACAAAACTAAGGAATGGAAAGGGAAAGCAACTCACTTAGGGTCATACACCTAGTAAGAAGTGACAACGGAAATTACACCTATGTTTGACAAAACTAAGAAATGGAAAGGGAAAACAACTCACTTAGGGTCATACACCTAGTAAGAGGTGACAATGGAAATTACACCTGTGGCCAGAAATTACATCATAGATTAAGTCTATGATCTTAATCACCAGTTCACGCTGCCTCATGGGAAGTTGCTGTTAGAATATTCAATAATTAATAGCCAAATACCATGTTAAAAAGTTAACTATGCACTCACACAAAATATTTGATGATCTTAATGAGTATGTCAAAGAGTTAACTTTTGTCCGTTAATCTTAAGACATCAATCTTGCTCCAGTAGGTAGTGTGAGTTAATAAAGACACTATTGTTTAATGACTGTAGCAGAATGTGATCATGGATTGTGCACATTCTTACAGAACAGAAATTTTAGGAAACCTGGAAAATCCTTCTGGAAAATGTTATCCAATAGATTGCCTTAAGTTAGCAAATAGATAATTTGGCAATTAGAAATTTTCCATAGAATTTGTCATTAATTTAGTGAAATCAATTATTATCTGCCTTGCAGTTTACATGTTGTTTAAAGTAAACATTTTTTAGATAACTACATATTGGATGTATAACGGAGTCAGCACTAGTGATGGATTTAAGGAAACTCAGGAATAGTTTTGACTCTACCACCATCTGATTGTGTGGACTTAAATTATTCTGTCAGTGCCTTAAAAAGTAGGATGTGGCTGCTTAAATGATGTTGATGGTCTTTTCCTATTCTAATATTCTATGACTCCATTTATGCTCGATATAACTGGTCATGAATTTCCAATTCTTGATACCAGAATGAACAGTAAGTCTCAAAAACCTCAAAATTATAATAAATTCATTTGTTGTTCTCACAGTGATAATTAGAGACTTCTGTGCATCTATAATGACCTGTGTATGTGTGATTAGTTGTGGTGAGTGGAGACAGGATAGAAATATAACACTTATTTATTTCTTCTTTCTGTTTACTTCAGAGAAAACAGATCTGTTAAAGTGCCCAGAAGGTTGGCATATACTCACAGAAAAATGCTTGTTTCTTTCTCGTGCTTCCAACACTTGGAAAGATAGTCTGACTGACTGTTCCACAAAAGAATCCAGTTTGCTGCTTATTCGAGATCAGGAAGAATTGGTAAATAATTAAATAAGATACCTTAATAAAGCTTAGCACTTTTTTCTAACCATTCCAAGATCTTTGGGCTTTAGCCCAAAGGTTCTATGCAGATAGAAGTAGCAAATTTCACTTCAAGATGCTCACAGTGTGAGAGACTACACACAGGTGTAGGCAAATAATTGAATATAATTTGATGCATGCAGCAATATGGATATAAATATAGAGACAATAATATCACAAAGAAGGAATAATTAACTCTGATGGGGAGTTAGGAAAGGCATCATAGACTAGGTGAGATTTGAACTCTGTTTTAGAGAATGAGTAGAAAAATGCAAACCATGAATAGATAATGCAGATTCAATATTCAGTCACTTCTTTTCATTTTATTGATAGAAACTCATACGAATGTGGATAAATGAAAAGGGAATGCTATTTTGGATTGGACTAAATTTAACATTATCGGAGAAGAAATGGAAGTGGATAAATGGTTCATTTTTAAATTCAAATGTGTGAGTATTAGATCAGCTAATTTGAATATTCACTCCCAAATCAGGTTAATATTTCAGAATAGTAACACTGTTATGGAAGATTGAGGTTTGTGGTTTTAATTTAGTTTAGAAATTTTTAAGAGGTTCAGAATAGACTAAGATGAATGATGTTGAAGTTGGTTGGTTGAAAAGTTCCATATGTGAAAAGACATCAGCCCATTATAGCAATATATATTTTTATCTGCAAGGGTGTTTTAGAGGAGAAGGGAACAGACTAACTTTTTTGGGGAGGAGCATATAAAACTAAGCAATCTCTAGCTGGAGGTTTTTATCGTGCAAACATTTTTAAGTAGTGTTTTTCAAATTGTGGGACAATATATCTTGGGAGGTCATAATCAGCACTGGAACAGTAAATATAAGAGGGAAAAAAAAGTAAATATCAGCATGCAGAACCCAGACACATGAAAAGCCTTATTGATTAACATATATTTTATATGCTATATGTATTCTATACCGTATTCTTAAAATAAGCTAGAGAAAAGAAAATGTTATTGAGAAATTATAAAAACAGAAAATACATTTACAATACTTTACTGTACTTATCGAAAAAGAAAAAAATGCATAGAAGTGAACCTGTGTAGTTCAAACAAATGTTGGTTGAGGGTTAGCTGTATATTTTAACCAGTGGTGTAAAGGAGACAGTTATTTGAGGGAATGGGATTAATATGGCATAGGCCACAAAGGATCTAATTGCTATTTTCTCTTGAGTGTCTCATTATAGTTTCTTGTGTAAGATGGTCAAGATAACTAGCAGTGTAATAGGAGGGTTGATGCTGCACAGGTAAATTACATATTTTAACAGAATTCATGGTTAATTGTACAACAAAGGAAGAGTTTTTTTCCCTCAAAAGCAAAAGTATGTAGGAATTCAATAATGTTTCTGTAAAGAACTTTTTGATAAATTTTTCAGAAGAGATGATATTATGTTGTGGTTTTTTTGTCTGTGAATGATTCAATCAAATTTGTATAAATTATAGTTAAAATTTTTTTTATCCTTCAAAAAACATGAGGAAAAAACATGAAATTTAAGACGCAGGAGCTTGTTCACGTTTATCTAAGCTATAGTGATAATTGTTATGGAAAAGTATTAAAGCTGGCTTAATTAGTAAATTTTCACATTGTTTGACCCATGTTCTAAACTATTTTTTAAAATGTGATTCTTTAAAAGATTATTTTAAAGTAAGTGTTCCAGGAAACGCAGTTGGTTAAGCATCTGGCTCTTAGTTTCAGCTCAGGTCATGATCTCAGGGTCCCGGGAATCGAGCCCCGTGTTGGGCTCCCCATTCAGCATGGAGTCTGCTTGGGATTCTCTCTCCTTCTGCCTCTCCCCGTGTGCTCTCTCTCTCACTCTCTCTGAAATAAATAAATCTAAAATAAATAAATGAGTAAGTAAATAAAATAAGTGTTCTGGAGTAGAATAAACTTACGAAAAGGCAAGCATACTCATTCTGTTAAATAAAATCTATCCTCACACCACATGTACACCACAAACACACCACAAACACACACAGCAAAACACACCAAAAACAACACCCACATACACCAAACACACATCCCCCATACACCACACACACCACATACAAAACATACTCACTACACATATACAACACACATGTACACCACACGTACCCTACACATATGTCACACCCACACACAAATCTATCCTCATTTTTATATGCTTTCTGGGTATTATTTTCTATACTTTATTTACATATAAGTGAAAGTTTGATATTGACTTATTTTTATTTTTTCATGCATAGTAAAAGTTAATTTTGGTTGATTCAATTTAGTATGTGTGTATACTTATTTTACTGAGGTTCATAATAAAATTGGAAAACACTGAAGTGTCTGTGAGCAGAAATATAGATAAAGTGGATGGATTAAATTCAGCTGAACATTCCATTTTACTCTGGGATAAAAATGATGCTTTGATTAAGATGGCAGTGATCAGATCACCCTGGAAGGTGTCAGGTTATAGTAGAAAGGGTATCAGATTCTGCTTTGAAGAAATGCAAGGAAGTAACAAAGAAAAGCTGTGACAGAACCTTGTCCACCACCACCACTCCACTTGGTTTGAAACACATGAGTCTTGAACTCACCCCATCCCAGCACCTGGCCCTAATGCTGCCTATTCCGTTGTTGATTCTACTCCTACCCTCACCCGCAGTGAGCCACAAGCCTCACACTTGTTGGAATTAATGGCATATTGAAGCAGACACCTGCCAACCTCTGTTTGGAATGGAAAAAAAAGGAAACTCCTGACCACATACCACACAAACGAAACCTCTCCTAGCTGCGTCCAAAGTCTGTAGACCCTGTATGCCCATCACTCACTGTGTACTTAATGTTTACTGAGCACGTATATCATTTAAGCATTGTCATACTTTCACATGTGCTACCTCAATGTCTCCCCCAAATATTAGTGGTTATGTCCTGTATATTAAAGAAAATTGAAGTTTGGTAAAGAAACTTTTCACATGATATGTCAATGGTAGAATAAGAATAAGAAGAGAATCCCAGTTTCCAAAGCTTGTGTTCTTTGCATATGTTATTATGAAGCTTCTTGTTAGAGGATGCTTTTCCAGTGAAGATGAACTGGCAAGTTCCTGAGATTTATATAGCTTTAAATTAAAAGTTTATTCCAGGGTGCCTAGGTGGCTCAGATCTCAGGGTCATGGGGTCGAGCCCCGTGTCCAGCCCGGAGTCGAGTCCCACGTCTGGCTCCACACTCAGCACGGAGTTTACTTGGGAGTCTAACTCTCCCTCTCCCTCTGCTCCTCCCCCCAGTTGTGCTCTAAATAAAACTAACTAACATAACATAATAAAATAAAATTTAAAAATAAATAAATAAATAGGGCACCTGGTGTCTGCCTTTGGCTCAGGTGATGATCCCAGAGTCCTGGGATCGTGTCCCACATCGGGCTCCTTGCTCAGCGGGAAGCCTGCTTCTCCCTCTCCCACTCCCCCTGCTTGTGTTCCTACTCTCACTGTCTCTCTCTCTGTCAAATAAATAAATAAATAAATAAATAAATAAATAAATAAATAATCTTTTTAAAAAATAAATAAATAAGTAAAATATTTTTTAAGTGTTTATACCATTCCATATGTGACAGTGTACTTACACTATACTTAATAATGTAGCATCCCATTGTTTCCTGAAAGTTGTAGGAGACATTGTCTAGATGAAGAGAATTAATTATGTTTGAAAATCACAAACACTAAGGGAGGTTTTTCTTTTGCTCCACAGATTACAAATTACTGGTTATACTCAAGAAAAGAGCTGTGTTTCCATCTCACCAACAAGAATTATTTCTGAGGACTGTGACACAGAAAATCAATGGATCTGCCAAAAACAATTAAAACCTGTCAGAAATAAAGTATGTTCTGACTCTTGACTATACATCCCCTCTTAATTTCTTTACTTTCCATTATAGGTCTCTGCAATTTTAACTATATATACAGTTAAACTGGTCTAATGTATATTTAATAGCACAAAGTGAACCAATACTGAGAATTCTAAAACTATTGTGAATCTTACAGAAGTTCATGTCTAATCTACTCATTAAATGAATGAGGAAACAAATGCATAGGGAAAATATGTATCGTTTTAAGATACAGTGTTCTATGGAAAGAAGCCCAGAGCAGCTGAGAGGAATGGTTTCCAGTCCTGGCATATATGTGTGGCCTTCGTTGATCCCCTCTACGCCTTAGTTCACTTCTAGAAAAGTTTTAGTAAAAGATCTCTACAGTCCTATGAATATTTCATAGTCTATGATTTTTCATATTATTACACAACTGGATTGTGGCAGAACATTGACTTAAGTCCATTCTCTTGACTCTGATATCAGAATCTCATAACCAAAGGATCTTGGGAAGGGATCTAAACCCGCCTTTCCAGTGTTCTTCCCATTTTTTCTCATTACTTCTCTATTTTCCTTCTATGTCTCCTTTCTATGGCTCACATACAAGCTGTAGGAAATATGTAATTAAGTTTTCCATTATTTAATGGAAAATAAGTGTTTTTTCAACAAAAGAGAAATGTTTATTCAGATAAATATCATGAGTGTTCCCTTTTTTTAAAACATGCCACATCTTCTATGGAGATCAAATAAATAATAATACTGGAGGCTTATAATAAAATTTCTGAAAAATAGGTATCTACTTACTCTGATCATTCAATGCCAATTTGAATTATATAAATTCGAGTACATACTATAATGACCAAAATAACATTTCAACTTCTGTTTTCCATGATGATACTTGTTAATATACAATTTTGACTATGTCAAAACCCAAAGTATAATTCATTTGTGTCAGGAAATAAATTACTTAGGGAGACATTCTAGACAAGAACATCATTATGAACAGTATATGATAACAGTGAGATTTTGAACTGTTTGGCACTTTTGAGGAAGAGACCTATAAAGAACAGAAATCTGGAAAAAAAAGTGTTTCCATAATTGACAGTGTACATGTCCACTCCTTGAAATAATGTTCAATGCAACCCTCTAAAGCGAATCAGGATATGGCTTTCTAAATCCATCCAGTTAATCCAGAATTCATTCCAAACATGGACCTGTTTCTTCTCCTATACTCGTTAGATCCCAAATGAAGTGCCCCTAAGGGACACATCTGTAAGAATGTTTTACAGTGAAACTGACTCCAAGAAGTTAGGTGCTGTCACAAAGATTTGCTATTGCAGTATTAGATGATCAATTAAATTTACCAGTGGAGATTATCTCTGAGACTCAAACTATAAAGATGCAGCTCCCTGAGGAAAGAATGTCTAACCATATTCTAAGCGGATTAAAAAATATTAGATCTACAGTATTTCAGTCAATGTTTATTGACTAACTGCAACTCGAAAACATGTCAAAAGAAATACTTGCTACATCATTCAAGATCTGCCATCTACATTTCCTCTAAGTGGCCCATATGCTCCTTGTGCAGACTCCTTACCGATCTCCAAACACCTCCTGACATTGTATGATTTCATTGTTTAATACATGTTGTCCCATGAGTGTTAGGTCCTCTTTTCACACTTTATGCTTTGACTAGAAAAACCGGAGAAGTTGTGGATGGTTTAAAGCAAACGTTAATTCCTTTCTGAATGTTTCTTCAAGCTTCTGACTCTCACAATTTGTAATTTATTTCTCTTTACTTTTCTGAAATATAATCACAATTCTTCTTTGCTATATTGTAATAAGTTGCTTTTATGTTTCTGAGGCTGATTCCACTGCTCTCCTGGCTGACAATACACAAGTACCAAGACAGAACAATGAAAGGAAGAAAAGGAAGTCCCTGACTCATTTTAATACAGTGAGCTAAGCTGAGTAATGGCACAGTACAGTCTATTCATGCTGCTGTAAATTGACCTTGAGGCTGGACCAGGTAGATTCCTTCCATGCCATGTGCTTGGATTTGAAATCCATTTGCTTCTGTTTTACTTCCAGTTATCTCATTCCACAGCAGGCTTTGATAGGTGCAGTGCGCGGTAAAAAGTAGTTCTCCTGGTATCATATAAGACTGATGAATCACAGGCTTGTACTTCTGAAACCAATAATACATTATATGTTAATTCACTGAATTTAAATTTAAAAAATGTTTTTAAAGGAAAGCGTGTGCCACTGCAGTAGCGAGGGTCCAGTGCTGGGGAAGGAAGTGAGCCTCTCAGGCGTAGCAGCCGAGGGGGCAGCTGGTTGGTGCTCAGACCCCTGCTGCAGTGACAGGTCCCTCCACGTGTTTTCAGTAGCGACATGGAGCTGGAGGAGTTGGGAATCCGAGAGGAATGTGGCGTATTCAGGTGCATCGCGTCAGGAGAGTGGACCACGCAGCTAGTTGTGCCGCATGTGATCACTCTGGGACTCGTGGGGCTGCAGCACTGGGGTCAAAAGAGTGCTGGTATTGTGACCAGGGATGGGAATTCAGTACCAACATTCAAAACACACAAGGGAATGGGTCTTGTAAATCATGTCTTTACTCAAGACAATTTGAAAAAATTATATATTTCAAACGTTGGAATTGGACACACAAGATATGCCACTACAGGAAGCTGAATTAGAAAATTGTCAGCCCTTTGTTGTTGAAACACTTCATTGGAAAATAGCTGTGGCACATAATGGCGAATTGGTAAATGCTGCTCAATTAAGGAAAAAGCTTCTGCGGCAGGGTATTGGTTTGTCAACAAGTTCTGAGAGCAAAATGATTACACAGTTACTGGCCTATACCCCTCCTCAGGAACAAGATGGCACCCAGATTGGGTAGCAACGATTAAAAACTTAATGAAGGAAGCGTACTCCCTGCTTATAATGCACAGAGATGTTATTTATGCAGTATGAGGTCCTTATGGAAATCGTCCTTTATGCATTGGACGTCTTATGTCTGTATCTGATTTAAATGATAAAGAGAAAAAATCTACAGAAATAGAAGGATGGGTGGTATCTTCAGAATCTTGTAGCTTTTTATCAATTGGTGCAAGATATTACCGTGAAGTCTTGCCTGGAGAAATTGCGGAAATAACCAAATATAGTGTCCAAACTCTTGACATTATACCAAGGTCTGAAGGAAACCAGATGGCTTTTTGTATCTTTGAATATGTTTATTTTGCAAGACCAGATAGTATATTTGAAGACCAAATGGTTTACACAGTCAGATATCGCTGTGGTCAGCAGCTCACAACTGAAGCCCCTGCGGATGCAGATTTGGGTAACACTGTTCCAGAATCTGCTACACCTGCTGCTCTCCGTTATGCAGGAAAGTGTGGGCTTCCATATGTGGAAGTGCTATGTAAAAACCGGTATGTAGGAAGAAGCTTCATTCAACCAAACATGAGGTTAAGACAACTTGGTGTTGCAAAAAATTTGGAGCATTGTCGGACAACTTTAAAGGCAAAAGAATTGTTCTTGTAGATGATTCACTTGTAAGAGGCAATACCATTTCACCCATAATCAAATTGCTCAAAGAATCTGGTGCAAAAGAGGTACGCATTATAGTGGCTTCACCACCAATTAGATATCCATGCTTTATGGGAATAAACATACCAACAAAAGAAGAGCTTATTGCCAATAAACCTGAATTTGAACATCTTGCAAAATATCTGGGAGCAAACAGTGTTGTATATCTGTCAGTGGGAGGACTGGTTTCATCTGTACAAGAAGGGATAAAGTTTAAAAAACAGAAAGTGGAAAAGCAGAATGTTATGATTCAAGAGAATGGGAATGGTCTGGAATGCTTTGAAGAGAATGGTCATTGTACAGCTTGTCTCACTGGAAAATACCCTGTGGAATTGGAATGGTAGCTGGTAGGGACAGATAAGATTTTTCAAGATATAAAGTTGGTCAAGAAGTTTTAGTGGTGGTTAACATCCTATCCATTTAGAGGCGGAACAAGATGGCGGAGGAGTAGGAGACCTGGATTTCGTATGGTCTCAGGAATTCAGCTGGATAGGGATCAAACCATTCTGAACACCTACGAACTCAACAGATCAAAGAAAAGAATAGCAACAACTCTCTCAACAGAAAAGCAACCACTTTCTGGAAGGTAGGACATGCGGAGAAGTGAATCCGAGGTGATATTCAGGGGGGGAGATGGTGGGGGGGGGGGGGGCCTCCGTCGGCCGCTTCTGGCAAGTGATAGAGCCACAGTGCACAAAATCGGAACTTTTAGAAGTCGGCTCAGCTGAGGGATGTCACTCCAGTGGCTAAGCGGGGGGTGGAACCCTCGCAGGACAGTGTGGTCTCAGGACCCTTGGGGTCACAGAAAGACTGGGGGTGACTGAGTGTGGCAGAGCTCCCAGGTGCCGGAGCGGGGAAGCCGGCTGCAGAGATGGAGCCGAGGCACAGGCTCTCAGCTCGGGGTTGCCATAAACCATGATCTGTGGCACAGTTGGGCCACTGCTCCTCCAGCAGCGACCCAACAAGCGGCAGATCCGGGAAGACGCCCCTTCCTCCCCCAGGGGGAGTAGTGGGGGAGGGCACCGCAGGGATCTGCTGGGTTTGGTGACTCCACATGGGGTCAGGTGCCAGAGATAGAAATGCTCGGTCACAGACCAGGTGAGCACGGAGTGCAGCTGGAGACCGGGGAGATGGGAGTGACTGACTGCTTTTCTGTGGGGGCACACTGAGGAGGGGGGCCCCGAGTTCTCAGCTCCTCCAGGTGGAGATTGGTAGGCCACGATTTTCACTCTCATCCTCCAAGGCTGTACGGAAAGCTTGCAGGGAACAAAAGCTCCTGAGGGCAGGAGCTTAGCCCTGCTCCAGATTACTTAGCCCAGACCAGCAAGGATGGGGCAATTCTGCCTCTGGCAAAGACATTTGGAAACCACGGCACCAGGCCCCTCCCCCAGAAGATCAGCAGGAACAGCCAGCCAAGACCAAGTTTACCGATCAAGGAGAAC